TGGGAGGTGCTGTGCAGTAAGACTGCGTATGACTATACCTTTGGCAGCGGTGACACTGCCCAATAAGTCCAGAGTTCTTTTGAGCTTCAACTATGATTGCTAGACCCAGCAGCTCTTGTTTATTGAACAGCTGCTGGGACTTTTCAATCTCGGGCAGTTCGAGTATCACGACCACCAAAGGCTTGGGTGCGCCGCCACTGCGTTTGAGTTGAATAATATGGAGAGTGTATCCCCTCTGTTCTAATTCCCCCTTGATCCCCTGTTCCGAAAACATTGCGGGTACCGCGTGAGTATTTCGTTCTGAAGGAAGAGGGAACGTATGATGGGACACATCCTCCTCCCAACAGACGAACGATCCTGCGGTAGTCGTTTTGGCAAAATCCTGATTCCTGCATCAACGGCAACTGTGCGTTCTTTTTTTTTTTGGTGAGGGGGAATGCGTTTATGCACCATACCATAGCCCGAGCTACCGCGGGTTCTCCTAGTCTCCTAGTCAAGGTTCCAGTTAGCGGGTGCCAACTGGGACCTTGGTCTAGGGTACCTGGCTCTGCGGTTGCGAGGCCTCTCGTCCGGATCGTAGTCCATGATTAGTCATAGCTGCTCGTTCGGGTGGTCCTGAGCTATCTGGAAGGTCTTCTCCGCTTTTTTCCTCATGTACTCGTGAATAGTGTCCGAATGCAGGTCTCTAAGCAAGGTTGAGTTTCTTACGTAGGATGGGGCACTGGTGGCGATCCGGAGTAGCTTCATCTCTAGAGCAGCAAGTCGCTTGCGGTAGCTGGGAGCAGTGTACCCCCAGACCGCGGAGGCGTAAGCGAGCTGAGGTCTGGCGATGGCCTTGATCAGCCGTAGCTTGGTCGCTAGCGGCATCCAGCTGTCTCTACACAGCAATGAATAGAGTTGGGCCATGGCTGCTCTGGTCTTTGCGACGACAGCTTCTATGTGGTCTTTCCAGGTGATGGACTTGTCAAATACGATCCCCAGATATTTGACTTTGTCGCTCCACTGGATATCTTCGTCGAAGATGGATGCTTCGAGAGGTCTTGCAATCCTTCTTCGTTGGATGAAGATTGCCTGCGTTTTCTGGACGTTGATGCGGATTTTCCATTTCACGCACCAGTCCTGGATGTGGTCCAGTTCATCCTGTAGTCTCCTACGGATGGTCTCGTGTCGTCGATGCTTGGCGGCTATAGCAGTGTCGTCTGCATATAGGGCCAGCATTGTGTCAGCTGTCTTCGGTACGTCGTGAGTGTAGATGTTGTAGAGCAGGGGGGCTAAGGCTGACCCCTGGGGCACGCCTGCTTCCAGCTGTCGTCTTGTTGAGTGGTATGTACCAATCTTCACCGTGAACCATCTTTGTGTTAGATAGCTCTGGATCAGTTGGCACATGTTTGCATCGATTCCGGCGGCTTCCATTTTGGCGATGAGTCCATCGTGCCAAACTCGATTGAAGGCTCGTTCCACGTCCAGCAGGACGAGGCCGGTTGCCTCCTGGAGATTGAAGCCTCTGGTGATGTTTTCTGTCAGTCGTAGCGCTTGGAGTTCCGTGTTGTGAGAGGATCTGAAGCCGAATTGCTCTGGGGGGAGAAGTTCCAGTTCTTCTGCCTGCTTCTCTAGTCGAACGGCGATAGCTTTTTCGACTACTTTGCCGATCGAGGAAACCAGGCTGATGGGCCGGTAGTTCTGGGGCAACTTCCGGTCCTTGCCTGGCTTGGTGAGCATTATAACCTGGGCTTCCCGCCACCGCCGCGGGAAGTGGTTAAGTCTCAGAGTGGCATTCGCGATGTTGGTGAGCGCAAGGTTCTTCAGCATCCTGTTGTTGATGCCGTCCCTTCCCGGCGCCTTTCTGACCTTCAACCTGCGGATGATCAGACGGATTTCCTCTGGACTGGAGGGGTGATCCGTCTCCTGGCCAGGTGGTCGTCTCCTTATGATTTCGGCTGCGACTTCCACGGCTTCCTCGTGGTTGTCGTCCTCGTCTTCATGGTAATTGAGTCTGCATTCGGATTCTAGCGAATCGGCTAATGCTTCGGCTTTTTCTTCACTGGAGTAGGCCAAGTTGCGTTGGCCGTGAAGAGTGAGGATCGTGGTACGCTGACGACGAAATTTTCTCTGCATAGTCCAGTCCGTACCATCCTGGGTCTCTAGTTCTGCACAGGCTGCATTCCATCTGCTGTTTTGGAGTTCCGCGAGTGCGTTCTTCAGAGCTAGCGATGCTCTGTTTCGCGCAACTCTCGACTCCTCTGTCAACAGCTGGAGATATTCTCGCTTGAGTCTTCTGTTCTCCCTGATCAGGTGCCTAATATGGTGCGGTGCTGGACCATTTAGGTGTCTAGGAACTGCCGTAGTCTCGCAGTGGGTGCTGTCCTCGTGCGCTCGCAGGACAGCATTCTCTAGCTCCTCTACTGCGTTGTCCAGTTCCTCCGCTGATCGGATGGTTGGAATTTGAGTGATATTCCTTTGGACGTTGGATTTGTAGTAGTTCCAGTTCGTCCGTTTGGTGCTCAAGCTATCTCGAGTTGTAGACCCTGTGCCAAGTGTTAGTAGGATCGGATTGTGGTCCGACGATCCTTCCACCAGGGTCTCTATCTCGAACTCCTCTCTGTTGCGGAGGATGGCTATGTCCAGTACCGCAGATCGCCCATGCGCGTTCTATCGTAATGCCTAAACTTATAAAGGTGTAGTTTAGATTTTCGCCACTTGGCCGCATCACGCAAAACAATGGACGTGATTCGCCCCTGGAGGGGTGCTGTGCTGGTCAACTCACCAGCAACGTGAGATTGTTGAGATAATGCACCGTCAGTCGATGCAATGGCCAAAGATTGAGAAGATGTGGTCGCTGCATCGACTGTCATAGGACAAGTGGCAGAAGTTGATACGTCTAATGAAGCAGACGGTTTTGAGGGCACTGTCAACTTGAATTTGGATTTTGTTTTTGGAAGAGGTGGGAAGTCGCCGCCTTGTCGGTTTTATTCGTTTTATCGCTGCGCCTTTTCCTAGACTTGGCCTGAATGAATCCGTCATTCTGTATTTCATCGTCGGTCGATGTCACGTTATCAGTCAAATTTTCAAGAGGTCTTTCTAAGTTGACAGCCTTGTCAGAATTGGAATTAAAGTTTGGGTTATTAATTAACCCTGTATCTGCCTTTGCGCGACACGTTATTGAAAAAATCTAATATTGCCACAGGTTATCAGTTATGACTTATAGATGACATAAGATATTATAAAAGTTGAAAATTAACCTGGGAAAATGACTTTAGAATTAGTTGCTTGCAAGCAACATTGCGAGATAAAGTGTAGGTTCAATTGTTACTTGCAAGCAACATTGACCGATAAAGGTAAACCTAATTGCACTGGTTTATATGGAAATACAACGATACATTTCAAATCATTTATTTATAAAACGAATATCAAGAAATAATCAAAATATATATTTCTAGATTCACAAAATACAATGTGATGAAACAGCTAAATCTAATTGGAATGGAAAAGGTAGAAACAATTCTTATTTGGGGTGAAACAAACCCTAAGATTGCACTTGGTACAAAAGATTGTTGTAAATCCATTGGCACAGTGCCTGCATCTATATACCTTTTGTACCATAAGTTGGCCAATGACCTATGCCATCTTTTTGGGTGGTGATATCAGGTCTCGGCAGTATAGGGTTTGATATTATTTTCGCAGGGGTTTTATTAGTCGAGGAAATGGATGGTCTGCCACGAGAACTTTGTTTTCCTGCGTTGGCCAACGATTTGGCTAATTCGGAAACGGAACTCCTTTAGCGGTTTTGACGTTACACGTGCTGTGTTGCAGTCCTTTCTATACAGAAACCAGGCGTTGATCACTAACATATCAAGAACCCATGTGAAAATCGGGAAGTACCATCTTTTCGATCTGCTTGTACTGCGATACACACCAATGAATTGGCCTTATCGACACCGCCCATGTGCTTATTGTATTGCGTTATAACGGATGGACAAAGAATGGCAATTTTTTTCTATTCCACTTTCGAATATATTTTTTTCGATTTTACGGGATTTAGGCCACCGAATGTACTTGCTAATAGAACACATTTATTGTCAGCCCATTTTACTACTATTATACCTTTGTCTGTATCTGCTTTATAAGCGTAGGAACCTCTTCCCCTTTTTTGAAGCACTTTATCGGTTTCAAGTTGTCATCCAGCTATTCTGTCAGACCTTATAGTTCCTAAACCAAGTATCCCTAATCGGTCTTTCAGATAAATAAATAATTTTACACTTGAAAACCAATTGTCACAGAATATAATAGTGTTTTTCGGTTCGCTTAGGGTTTTGCACAGAGAAATGACGGCGCTAGCACCTACACCTAGATTTATTTCATAATCATCTAACTCATTCGGAGATCATCTAAGCACTTCAAATGTCGCAACTCGCTGATAGGGTATGGAGTCGGCAATATTACTAGCAACCCCAGCACGAATGAAAAATTTAAACCCCCATTTGTGGGGTTTATTTTGGTTATACTGCCTCAAGTTGCCCGCATATGTGCCTTTGTAAGACACCATTATTTCATCTATTGAGTATTGAATTTAAAACTGGAGTTTATAACAGTTCTTGAGTACAATTTCTAATAAGGGTCTAATTTTGAAATATCGATCCTTTGTCTGGTCTGTTATGTTAGTATTATCATTGAAATGGATAAACCGTCTTAGTTTCTGAAACCTCTTCAAAGGTATTATATTGGCCACGTGATCTACTCTTATACTAGCTGCCCAAAAATATTCTATGGCAGGAAGTTTTATTACACCCATAATCAAGAGTATAGATAGAAAATCCGTTATTTCTGACGGATTTATATCAATACATTGCCCAAGTTGCTGAGTACTATAAAGATTTGTCTGATAGACCATTATATCCATTAGATCAAATGAAAAAAACTTTGTAAAATACTCAATGGGAACTGCAATGTTGTCAGGTTCAGGAAAGTCTGCTGAAGGTATGTTAGCAGAAACTATGTCGGCTTCAATCCAAGAATATGATTCTTTGTGGTGGTGGCGGCTCAGTTTCATCGTCACTTTCTTCGAATTCAGAATTACTTTCTGGAACCAGCATGTCAAGTCCTGAAGGCACTTTTTCATCGTTAAGCTCATTTGTTTGGGAAATATTTTCTCCGTCACTGAAATCATCGTCTGATCTGTGGGACTTATGATCGGTGCCTTCTTTTTGCCGAAAAAACATGTAGTGCTTATGGTTGGAAAATTATCCAGATCGGAAGACTGAAAAAGAAAACTAATTATTCTGGCAATGTTGCTTGAGAGATACATACTAAACAAAGTCATTTCCCTGCCTTATTTTCTGATCTATCGCTTAAATCATAAACATAAAGACTCAACCTTCTCTTATACCAACCAAGGCTAATAGAACATAAAAACAAATGATTACTTACCATTTGCAACTAAAATCTCAACTACAGATTCATACTTGCACCAAACACCTGTTACGCGGCAACCATATTGAAAGTTTTGACTCAACTTTTTATAAACAGAGGTCGCTCATAATATTATACTAAGTGACATATCAATCCGAACACCCAGTTTAAATGGTTTTATTTTAATAAAATTTTGTCTAAGTACTTAATGAAGCATAATAAGTAAAAATTTCAAAATGATTGCACTGCTTTAAAGCCCTTTGACCTTTAATAATGTGTGGATGCACCCTGATGTGCTACGCATTCTCCAACGCGCCTAGGCATGCTTCTGATCAGGTGGTCAATGTCCTCCTGTGGTATCTCATTCCAGGCAACCACCAACTCCTCTCGAAGTGCTTCTAGAGTCTGAGGAGGACGTTGCAAATTGATCAATCTCCTACCCATCATATCCTACACGTGCTCAATTGGGGATAAGTCGGGAGATCTTGGTGGCCATGGTAACAATGTGACATCATTATATTGAAAGAATTCTATTGTGACTCTTGCAACATGTGGTCGGAAAGTTGGATCTGCCAGGATGTCAAGAAAGGGTAAAAGATGGGGTTCTATTACTTCGTGGATATAACGCTGCGCGTTCATGTTACCTCTGATGAAGATTAAAGGTGACCTGGAACCATAAGCTATAGCACCCCAAACCATAACTCCAACAGTGTGATGAACATGTCTATCAACAAAAAACTGTGGATTCCTCCTTTCACCACGTCGCCTTCTAACCCTGGCACGACCATCGTGCATGCCTAAACAAAATCGAGACTCGTCACTAAAGACAACACTGTTCCATTCCTGATCCCAGAGTGACCGTTGTCTGCACCACTCAAGGCGATTACGTCGGTGTTCTCGAGTTAAATGGAGGACCCAGTGTGGCTGGTATGAAAACAAGCCAAAACTTCTCATTCGTCGGTAAACACTTCGCATGCCAATAGGTCTTCCGTGTTCTGCAAACCATTCATTTGCAATGGACCTGGTAGTGGAGAAACGGTCCCTTTAGGCCAATAATCTTAGGCGGCGATCTTCACGGTCTGTTGTTCTACGGCGGCGTCCAGTGCCCCTTGCTCTTTGCGTACGGCCTTCTCGAAGCCATGCCTGACAACACCTAACCACAGTTCTTTGCACTCTAACTGCAATTGCCCGAAAAGAAAGTCCAGCTTCCCGAAGTCCCACTATACGGCCCCTATCAAACTCACTAAGTTGACGAAATCGTACAGGTCTCCGTACTCTAAGCATCGTAACCGATCGTAAAGGATGTCAAGAACCAAAATCCGCCAACGTTGATTCTTTACTGCGGCTGAAATATTCATTTTTAGAGCGTTAGTGAATTAAAAAAAAAGCAGTATAAAAACCGGAATGTCCAACTGATAAGGCTGAAAATTTTTTCACTTGTTATTTACAGTAAGATAAATACATTCACCAACTTTTATTAAAATAAAACCATTTAAACTGGGTGTTCGGATTTATATGTCACTTAGTATATTTTTAACCGTTTTTCTTGTTAGTTGTCTTTTGACATGCTCCCAGAGATGTTCTATAGGGTTTAGGTCCGGGGATTGCAAAGGCCATGTAAGAACATTAATATTTTTTAGTCTTAACCAATCCTTTACGAATTTTGGGGTCATTACCTTGCTGTAATGTCCATCGTAAAGGCATTTCTTCCTCAGTAAAAGGGAGCGTGTATTCACTAAGAAAATCTTTGTAGAGTTTTGATCCATTTTCCCAACAATTTGAACAATTGTACCGGTTCCAGAACTAGAAAAACAGCCCCAAACCATGATGTTGCATCCACCGTATTTTACTGTTTCATGAGTTTTAGCAAAGCAATCCGATTTTTTTTAAATGAGAGGCTTTTGCACTGTACACCTACCAAAAGGCCTAAAATCCACCACGCGCTTTTGCAATGTTCTGACAGAAAGATTGTCGGCACCCTCTTCTACGACTTTTTCGAAAATCTGTGTGGCTGACATTCGGGGATCTTCATGGAACAAACGTAACGATCCAAAACACAATCGGTCTTATTTTGTCTCCGCACCTGGGCCCCGTTGCTGTTGATCCGTATTCTTGATATTTACTAATAATTTTCGAAATCGTCCCTTTGTTCATTATTAACCTTTGAGAAATGTCAACATTTCTAACACCACTCCTAAATAGTTCGATTACTTTGTCTAATAAATCTTTTGAAATTCTTTTACTTTTGCCTTTCTCACTGATGTTAATATTTACCATACGAAATATCAGATTATCGCAGAACGAATAAATACGGCAAAATTGAAATGTTTCCATAATTTTATCGTTACGAAAACTGTGGTATTTAAAAACGCGTGTTTTTATTTTCATAGAATTTGAATATTGATAAGATAAACCTTAGTGTATTAGTACGGGTGACAAAGGTAGACTTTAATATTTATATTATCTGTTCCTGCACAATTTTAATTTAGGTATATGAAATATACTAAGTGACATATAAATCCGAACACCCAGTTTAAATGGTTTTATTTTAATAAAAGTTGGTGAATGTATTTATCTTACTGTAAATAACAAGGGAAAAAATGTTCAGCCTTATCAGTTGGACATTCCGGTTTTTATACTGCTTTTTTTAATTCACTAACGCTCTAAAAATGAATATTTCAGCCGCAGTAAAGAGTCAACGTTGGCGGATTTTGGCGGATTTTGGTTCTTGACATCCTTTACCATCGGTTACGATGCCTAGAGTACGGAAACCTGTACGATTTCGTCAACTTATTGAGTTTGATAGGGGCCGTATAGTGGGACTTCGGGAAGCTGGACTTTCTTTTCGGGCAATTGCAGTTACAGTGCAAAGAAGTGTAGACACTGTGGTTAGGTGTTGTCAGGCATGGCTTCGAGAAGGCCGTACGCAAAGAGCAAGGGGCACTGGACGCCGCCGTAGAACAACAGACCGTGAAGATCGCCGCCTAAGATTATTGGCCTTAAGGGACCGTTTCTCCACTACCAGGTCCATTGCAAATGAATGGTTTGCAGAACACGGAAGACCTATTGGCATGCGAAGAATTTACCGACGAATGAGAAGTTTTGGCTTGTTTTCATACCGGCCACACTGGGTCCTCCCTTTAACTCGAGAACACCGACGTAATCGCCTTGAGTGGTGCAGACAACGGTCACTCTGGGATCAGGAATGGAACAGTATTGTCTTTAGTGACGAGTCTCGATTTTGTTTAGGCATGCACGATGGTCGTGCCAGGGTTAGAAGGCGACGTGGTGAAAGGAGAAATCCACAGTTTTTTGTTGAAAGACATGTTCATCACACTGTTGGAGTTATGGTTTGGGGTGCTATAGCTTATGGTTCCAGGTCACCTTTAATCTTCATCAAAGGTAACATGAATGCGCAGCGTTTTATATCCACGAAGTTCTAGAACCCCATCTTTTACCCTATCTTGACACCCTGGCAGATCCAACTTTCCAACAAGATAATGCCCGACCACATGTTGCAAGAGTCACAATAGACTTCTTTCAACATAATGATGTCACATTGTTACCATGGCCACCAAGATCTCCCGACTTCTCCCCAATTCAGCACGTGTGGGATATGATGGGTAGGAGATTGCTCAATTTGCAACGTCCTCCTCAGACTCTAGAAGCACTTCGAGAGGAGTTGGTGGTTGCCTGGAATGAGATACCACAGGAGGACATTGACCACCTGATCAGAAGCATGCCTAGGCGCGTTGGAGAATGCGTAGCACATCAGGGTGCATCCACACATTATTAAAGGTCAAAGGGCTTTAAAGAAGTGCAATCATTTTGAAATTTTTATCATTTACTTATTATGCTTCATTAAGTACTTATACAAAATTTTATTAAAATAAAATCATTTAAACTGGGTGTTCGGATTTATATGTCACTTAGTATAGCTCATAATAATGTTAATATTTGTTTCCAAACTGTTGTCCACTGTTGTAGATGTTTGACAGTTTGTAATAGCTATAGGTATTTGATTCTGTGGATATTTTTGCAATATCTTTACATTGTTGCGAGAGGTGAAAACTAAAATTCGCCCCTGGATTCTGAAACACGCGGAATAGATATACAATTGAAAGAAAATGTGTAATAACGTACTTTAAAGAAACTATTGATACTTTTTTTCCCACAGCTGCAGTACCAGCATTCGACGATATAAATTATACTCTGTATTGCAGTATTTTCATCACACTGTTTGTGGGATTTGTCATTTTAGTAGCTGCAGCCGTTTTCTTCTGGACTAGGAAAAACAAGCATTACTTCAACGGGGTAAGTAAAATTATCGTATAAACCTATTAGTTAAAACATTAACTTGTGAAACCGACGATCAGTTTTTATTAATGAATATAGCAGATATTCTCTGCGGTGCTTTTGTAAATGATGATTCTTCTGTTTTTATATCTACAGATATATTTTTCTGAATTTTACCTCGTCTAACCTTTACTCCGTGTCTGATGGTTCTATGGATATTTACTCATCTCTTTTTTTTTTGATAACTCCAACGAAGGCGTACGAAGTATAGAGTCAATCTACTTGACAAATTTTTTTAAAAACTGATCCTCGGTCCGTGATAACACGTATAGTCCATTTCTATTAATTGGTGTTTTTTTTCATGCTGTCCATGTAGTGGGGTGTAAGTGGATATTATCTTTTTAAGGTAGATGCTAGTTTATACGTTTCTTATTTTTCTTTTTCGCCTTTACTTCCTTTAGTTTTGCTTCTACTAAGACTGACAAAAACATAAAATAAGCAAGGAAAAAAACGA